GCCACGCGGCGGCGCTGACCCGGCGGGCGGCGGGCGGCGGAGGCGGCGGAGGCGGAGGGGCAGGCAGCGTTTGAGCGTGTATCACGATCGACGACGCCACGCCACACGCGGGCGCGATCGACGCCTTGGAGGAGGAGCTGTCGGCGCTCGGCGCTTCGCCTCGCAGCGCTTGAGGTTGCCGAGGCGCCGGCGGCCGCTGCTCAGACGGCGGCAACGGCAGTGGGCGAGGTTTGAACCACTCACATGTGCGTCGTGTGCATGACCGAGCCGATCACGCACGTCATGGGTTCCGTGCGGGGACTAGAGCAAGTCGCCCTGCGGTGAATATCCCGGGGAGAGATGTGCATTGGAGTTTAGTCAAGACTGTTTAGGCTGTTAGCTTGTCTGAAGTAAACACTTCTTTTCTCTTGCATTCTTTACATAGGGGCTAGGGCTAGGGGCGACGGCCGCACGGAATCGCCGCCGGCGGGGGGCGAGGGCGCTAGCGAAGGAGGAGGAGCGAGAGCCCGGGGAGGATGGGAGGGGGGTCGGCCGGAGGAGTACGCCGGCCTCTTCGACGGCCCATAAGGGGCCGTCGCCTACCGTGCCTTTTGTAGTGCCAGTCCGAGCCAGTCTGCTGTGGTTAGTAAAATTCTTTAGATACTGTGAGAGCGACAGTTATCTTACCTTATATTTCCCCGCGGCCGGTTTTCCGTTTCGGGCGACGGCACACTCACCGAGCTCTCCGGCGGGGAATCATGTCGGCGAAGGCGGGCTCTGGCGTCTCGGTGATGCGCTCCGATCTCGACGCGTCGACCTCGACGGAGGTGGACGCGCACGAGGCGCAGTGTCGGGCCGGCGTCAACCGCCAAGCACGTCCAGACGCCGCCTCTCAAAGGCGGGCGGCGTCATTGGCTGCTGCAGCCAAGCGGCGGCGGATAAGGACATGAACAACATACCTGCGCAAGCCGTCGCCCGGGCGGCCGCAGGCGGTGCCATCTCAACCCACTCTCGGCACCGCTGCACGTGCGTGCTCCCTCTCCCACCCAACTCGGCTCCACTCTCGTCCACCCGCGCCCACCCCATCATCTGCTCTCAGGCTGATTGCGGCGTGTGTTGCGCAATGCCGAGCCACCAGACGCTGGCCAGAGCATGATTGTGATGCCTCTGTCTGGGCCGGGGGGGCGTTCGACAGCGCGCGAGGCTGCCTCCCTGCCCTTTGCGACGCTTGCGACCACTGCTGAGTTGCATGCAGTACAGTAGCAGTGGTGGGGAGGGCTTGCGCCCCCCCCCCCCCCCCCGGGCAGAATGGTAAACTCGTGTCTACTCACCTCGTCGGCTCCATCGGCTGCCTCTCCTCGTGCGCCGGCTGCCTCTCCATCCAACCGCTTCTGCGTCCCCTTCTCTGCCCGGTGCTCGCGTGTCGCGATGTCGCTCTGCCGAGAGGGTCATCGCCGGCGTAGGCGGAGCGGCGGGCCCTTCGTTACAGAGACAACAAAGACATTTCACCCCTCGGGCTGTTGTTGCAGACAGAAAAACAAATTTGGCGCGCGTGCGCGCAAGGTATGCTAGTTTCGTAAATTCTTTAGATAACGCGACCATCATGTCTGACAGCTCGCGGCCGTCGTCGCGCACGCGGTCGCGCCGGCGCTCGGCAGCAGTGTCCGCTGCAACAGCACACAACGCACAGGTCGCGCCACTGCTGCAGCTTCCGCAGGTGTTAGTCACCGAGGTGCTCGTTTGGCTACCTGCGGCGGTGCTCGGTGGCGTGAGCTGCGTGTGCACTGCCTTGCGAGATGAACACGTGCCGGCCGCCGTGTACGGGCGCGCGGCACTTCTGAGCCTCGTAGTCCCGGATCCGCCACCATGCAAGCCGCTCGCCAACGCGCTCGACTTCTTGGAGGAGCTCTTGCGCCGGAGGAGCACGCTGGCCGCAGGAGAAGCGCACACGCTCTGCCTTCAGCCGTCACCGTCAGCACTGTATTCCTGGGGAGGCAACAGCGACTACGAAGAATACACCGAAGCGTGGGGTCTTGGTGAGCCCTGCGTCGCCTTCCTGGGCCATGGCAAACAGGTCGGCAAAAACGTGAGGTCGCCAAGGCGGGTGCGGTCCATCATTGACGCACAGGGCTGTCGCGAGTGGGCAGAGCCGAAGATGAGCCTGCTGCACGTTCTCGGGCAGGGGCCTTCCCACAGCCATGGTCAGCCTCCGAGCCGGTGGCGAAGGTGTCTTAGCTTGGGGGGAATGCCTCCTGACGGCCAATTTCGGCCACGGCCCGGGGTTGAAGTTTGGCCC